ACCGGCGATGGCTTCCACATCGGCGGAAATGGAGCAATTGACATCAGGTGCAAGCAATCGGATAATCCCGATTTTGAAAACCCTTAGAAAGTGTATTATCTTCATCCTCTCAATCATCGTATCTCTTCTCCTCCTTCTCCGTCCTCGTCGCCGTGTTTCGCCTCTTCCATCGCCGGAGGAAGCTATTCCGGCTCCTTCGAGACGGTGGAGGCGGAAGATGGCGTGGAAACTGGAGGAGGAAGATACCGCTAGGCGTCGTTCGTTAGCTGAAGGCGTTGAGATGGGTTTTGGTGTCGAAATCCCTTGTCGTTGGAGCAGTTCTTTGTTCTACGGACGACGTGGTAACGCTTTGTTCTCTCGGTCGTGGTTGCCTCTTTCCGGTGAACTTAGGTTAGTCTTTCGATTCTCGCATGCACGATTAGGATTCTCCGATTTTGACTTTTTTGAATTTTGAATTTGTGGTTTATATACAGGGGAATTTTGATTATTATACATGGATTGAATGAACACAGGTGAGAATTCGATCTTTAGTTCTTGTTATTGTGTATAATTTTATAGATGAATCTTTGAATCTGTGTTTCCTCTTCGTTTTTCAGTGGAAGATATTCTCAGTTTGCTAAGCAGCTGAATTCGAGTAATTTGGGTGTATACGCCATGGATTGGATTGGTATGACCACGAGCTTGTCTTGTTCATTTTCGTTTCCATCTTTTGTTCTGAAACTGTGAGTCTGAACAGGTCGCCATGTGTTTGGTCCATTTAGGTCATGGTGGGAGTGATGGTTTACATGGCTACGTTCCTTCTCTTGATTATGTCGTTTCCGACACAGTAAGTAACATCTTATGTCTACGAACACTAGTTGTTTTTTGCTTTTGGTGATTGAAAGTAGAGAAATGATGTTCCATTTGAAGTTGTTGATTTAGTGATTAAGATGTCTTGATTTGAATTCTATAGGAAGCTTTCTTGGAAAAGATTAGGTCTGAGAATCCGGGGATCCCGTGCTTCCTCTTTGGTCACTCTACCGGTGGAGCTGTGGTCTTGAAGGTGACTTTTGCTTCATTCATACCTTTGAAGCTCTTTTCAAGA